TCTCCAAAATGCATTCTAACTGAAGATATTAGGGGGGTCCGATACTTTTCGATGACCCTGTATATACACGGTGGGCTATTTTACGGGACCCACCCAAATTTCTCCGTCGGTAAGGCAGATACAGAAAAATAGTTCAGACAAAACTTGTTCAGGACAATGGAGGTCATTTAACTGTGCTAATGATTTTGACCTTCAGGTCGATTTTCAAGGTTATTTGAAGGTCAAGGTCATTTTTTTAAACAGAATTATACTTTTAATATTTTATGTCAATATGTACCACAATGAAATATAAAATATCTCGTAAACTATTGGTTTTTTGATATCACTACCTTAATACTTTTATATGCAGAATAATTAGAGGAATCATATTATGTAAAAAAATTCGTATAATTTCATTTAAAAAAATGACCTTGACCTTCAAATAATCTTGAAAATCGACCTGAAGGTCAAAATCATTAGCACAGATAAATGATCTCCATTGTCCTGAACAAGTTTTGTCTGAACTATTTTTTTGTATCTGCCTTACCGACGGAGAAATTTGGGTGGGTCCAGTAAAATGGCCCACCGTGTATATATATGTGTATGTACACACATACTTATGTATGCATATGTATCTTTCGGTTAATTCGAAATCGTTTTTCCTTCAACAGAAAGACTTTTCGTTTCGTTTTGAACAACGTACTATTAAAAACCGATATGACAGAAATAAAAGTACCATTATAAAATTATTACAATGAAAGAGATACATTAATCCATTTTTGTGCTTTCAGGAAAATCTGTGATCCACACCTGACCGCATTCGAGCCGGAGGCTCTAGGTAATTTAGTCGAGGGAATGGATTTCCACAAATTTTACTTTGATAATGGTAATTATGACTCATTGGCATCATCATTGCAAAATTTTATTTTTTTTATAGACAGTAATTTTTTATATAGACATAATTTGTAGATATAATATATTCGATAAAATAAAATATAAAAGCGTTATAACATCAATAAATTTTAAATTAGTAAAAAAGGGTTACGCACTTTCTGTAATTTTGTCAATCTGTTTTACAACTTTGACATTTAAAGAGTTAGGATTTTGTAGAGATTTAGAAGAGATGCTTTTAGAAGAGATTCTTTTAGGATATTTTTAATATTAGTATTTTTATTAAAACATCAAATAATAAAAATTGCACATACTAAAGCATTGCACCGAAAATTGATAACGAGAAAGTAATTATTTCTGTGAAATGAGTTTCCTGGATGTTTATAAATATTCTCTTATATTTTGCGACTTTTGAAAATTCAGATTTTATGAAGATGAATGGAATTAAATTTCTATCGTAATGAATAAATCAAAAGATTTTGCATGAGCAATTTTAAAAAGTTTCCATGTAGCGCAAAATTTGCTTAGTTTTGTATAACGTAGAATTTTCTTCGCAGTATTCATACAATTTTTATTTGTCCATCTCCCTATTTTTCTTCATGTTCCGCGGTACCTATCACAGACAGTAATAGTTGATCTCTTTCTCCTTGTTTTCTCGTTTTATCCCTTTTTCGTTTCTTCGTTTTTTTGCAATATTTTGATTTGTATAAAGTTTTTATGTCACATGTTAATATAAATCATGGTATTCGAGTAACTTTGTTTCCCGTCGATATCCTAAGCAGTCTTGGGGAAAAACTGTAAGGCGGTCAATACGACAATCCTGAATCCCCATGTCCATTTGTTGGGCGAGGATGCTGCTTGCATCGCATATGTCAGGTTGACGCAGTACATGGACAAGTGAGTACATATAACAGCGAAAAGATATAGTTAAGCGTGATCTGTACAGATGTGGTCGAAAATTAAGAAAATAGAAGTCATAATTTATTCAAATTCGTCTTTGTATTGCACATTAATTTCTTATAAATAATAGCTTTTAATTTGTCTTTTAAATTTGTATTTGATATTCAAAGGGACAAAATTCTTCATCATCCGTTTCAACAATTGCAAGATTACATTGTTGCATATGTGTTACATTCTATAATTTTCTCTGTATTGGAGATAGTATTGCAATTTTCCAAGACGATACGTTCGTGTCTCGTAAAATATATGTAGTTTAGTTCAAGTATCGTACTATCGTATACATTTTTTTCGTTTTGATCCTCAGACAAGGCGTAGCGCATACCCAGCAAAGTGAGGAAAGCCGCGTGTGGCACAAGAGGGACAACAAATGGCAGAACGTGCATTTTCATCGAAGCGCGGTGACGGGTCCATCTCCGTTCTCTTTCAACCACAAATAAATCGGCCAAGAGGACTGTCCTGCTGCCGCTCTCGGCGAATGCTCGTTATCCCCCGATAGAACGCGAATGAAGTAACGAATGTTAGGAATATTAGGAATACGGAATACGGAATACAACGTACGCGGGCAAGGGCATCCTCACGAAACACACACGTACACATAAACGTACACGTACATAAGAACGAAGTTACGAGTTACGAAGAGAACACACAACGATGTAATGCGGTATTCGAGAGACAGAGAACAGTAACGGTACAGTAACACGAATACAAATACATTTACATATAGTACCAAACGCGACAAAACCGAAGATATGGCGCATCCGCCAGCATGTATTACTTGCTCCAGTACCTGCTCAGCGTACTTACTACCTATATTTACGCGTGCACACGTACCCACTGCGCCAAGTGTGCCTCGGAGCCTCGACGAGGGAATGCAAATGGAGGGAACTATGCGCGAATCATTGGAAGCGCGAGAAAAGAGCAGAGTCGCTAATGTCGATCAATCGATTGTATTTAACGAGCACCGAGGACACGAGGTAGACACTGTCCATTGTCGGTTAATGAACGCAATCGCGGCGGAGGGAGAGAGAGAGAGAGAAGAGAGAACAAGAGAAATTTCTGGGCTGCAACGTTCACATGCACATGCACTCCGATCGTTCGTTTCGCTGGCATCGTAACATCGTCCGTTTTGGTTTCGTATCTTGCGACAACGCGTTCTTCTTCGATTCTTAAAAGCGAGACTGACGTCGATTTCTCAAGAGAGCAAGCGGATCCTCCAAATAGAATTGTGATATCGAGACAAGTCATCGCGTGTGTGACAAAGAGATAATGAAACCACTATCGCAATCAAACTCGCGTCGATGTTTTATGTATCGTCAAGTATCATCAGCAAAGTCGGAAAATTTGAATGCGAGGAAATGTAATAAACAGAGTCGGATAAAATGAATAGCACAATGGCAGATGAAACGAGTCGTCGGAGACGACGAAGAAGGACGGAAAGCAGGAAGAGGAAGTGGAGTGACGATAGGGTCGACTCGGATCGATGCTGGGCATCGACGGGGACGGCGACGGTCGTGATGAAACGAGAAGAGGAGTAAGAGCGGGAGAAAGAACAAGTATCCAAGTATCGACATAAGAGAGACAGAGACAGAGACAGAGAGAGGGGGGGAGGGGGGGAGAGAGGGAGATGGGGAAAGAGAGAAAAAGAGAGAGAGTTGAGAAAACGGTGACGACGCGGCGCGGGCGTGGTGTAGAAGAGCAACGGAATGGAATCGCGATCAAAAATTGCGGCTGATTGTGAGTGCCACGCTGTGTTTGCGTTGATGAACGTTGACAAACGCAGCGGCAGCATTTTCTTCATGTGATCCCTTTCTTCGGCTTGCGCTCTCGTCTCGTCTTGACGAGATACGGAGCTGCATCTAGACACATGCGACGAGAGAGAAAATCTCGGCGCATTCGTGGCGAGATGCGATCGAAAATCTACGCGCAAAAGATATCTCGTTTCTATTTATTTCATTAGCGATAAGACTTATTAACCAATTTTTAGAATTCTTGATAAATAGATCTGCGTGACGCGTATGTTCGACACATTCTATACTTGGTCTCTTGACACCGGATGTATCTTTCAAATGCACAAATATCATTTAATGAATCAATGATAATATCGCGACGTAGAATTTGAAATGAACGAAAAGGAGATACACAATATAGGAAAAATATATCTGCCGCGTGGGATAAATTTGATATATCTCTTTTAGAAAATTGCATTTTTACCTAGTAATGTGCAAGAAAGTACTTCGAGCTTCATATTTAACGTAGCGTAAGTTTGACATATATAAGCTTCAATTATTTCTATTGCGAGATTAACGGAATGTATACGACTATGCTGTCATGAGCAAGTATATACTACGCAATATCAAATCCTTCGTAATGTTCCTTCTAAATAGCGAGTATCACTGAGACGATAAGTAATAAATTTATTAATCTACGAACTCGCCGATGTTTGATAGATTGCATCTCGCTGCGGAAAAATATATCTTCTTCCCTTTTCCTCTCCTCGCACGCATTCAAAGAAGGCACATAATGCGCGTGACCATCCTAGATAGAGAGAAAGAAACAATTTTTAACTGTCTCATTTTATGATTGTCAAGGCACTTTGATAACTGGTGTATATTTGTATATCCGGTTATTTTGAACGGTGAGCATTGTGATACATTCACACATACAGTAAACGGATAAATACAAAATATACACGTATTTCCTATTATCTTTACTCTTTTAGATCAGTATTTTAATTTTACTTGTCAAACAATCTTATATTTCTACGTGCACATAAAAATGATTAACGGAAAAATATTAGAAAGGAAAAATTATCTTTCACATAAATAAAAGAATTAAGGATAAAGCGGGAGCACAGACTCTTGCATAAAGCATATAACACATAAGGCATAAGAAATTCAACCAATCAGAATTTTTTATTTTATGGAAAGAAAGAAAACGAAGAATTTTTTATTGGTTCATTTTTTTATGCATTACGTTATGCGTTGTGTAAGAATCTGTGCTTCCCGTCTAAAAGAGGAAAGAAAAAAGAAAAATGGAAAAACAAAATGTTATGAAAAAATGTCGCAAAAATACAATTTACTTCTATCACATCTCTCTCTCTCTCTCTCTCTCTCTCTCTCTCTCTCTCTCTCTCTCTCTGTTTCTCTCCTCTTTCTCATCCTCTCCGTCTCCCCCCCTCTCTCTCTGCATTATTAATGTTATATATAGGCATATATTTATTGAATTACTTGGAGAATCTAAAAGATATGATATATATAAACACCACAGTAACAAGTTGCAGTATGCGACGAATGGATTTCACTAATCGTGAGAAATTAGGAAACGAGTGGATTCCTATCCAAAATAATTACGAATCCAAACATTTTTTGTCGAATGTACTTCATTAATATGACGAATCTTTCTACACATTCGTATATTCTCTATTACTATTATAACTTACTACTACGCGCATAAATAATAATGCAATTTTATGAATGGGGAATCGTAGTAGAAATCTCTCCATTTACGAAAAATCAGGAGGAACATTTTTGCCATTTTGTTATGTG